CCATGAGATAAACCTGCTTCAACCTTACAATAATATAAATCAAAATACATTCAACAAAAGTGCATACAAAAAAGACAATCTCTACGTGAGATTTCCCCTCAATTCGTCATTCAGATTAAGGGTTGTTGCATCCCTGTTAAGAACAAACACACTATAAATATTTAATTACTTAAACAAAAATAATATATCGTGTGTGATCATCCTTATGGTTGATAATTCAGCTACATTTGTTGATGAATTGTCTTACCTCATATAGTAAGAAGCGCATATCATCTTTTGATCAACTTGAGCAGAAATATACATACTATTACTTTCACCTGAAGTTATGTTATTTTGTGGAAAAAATTGAGACCCCTATGTTCGTACCCTTCCAAGGTGTTCAAGACCCATGACAGCCCTCTTATCCGGAGTTGAAAGCCCTCTTATCCGGAGCTAACATTTTCATCTCTAACATCGCACATACTTGTGTCTACATTACAAAGTATATATAATTAAAATCAAAATGATTTATTTAATTAATCCTTTTAAATATAAAAAGCTAATATTATTTCCCATTTCTCCTTGCCATTTTAGATACCAAGTCCCATCTTTATATATCCAATTAAGTCTCCATAACTGCAATCTATCATGAATAATCTAGAAAAGAAAATGATAAAAAAAATTAATTTGGCATATTTACTACTTATAATTTATTTAAAAGAAATAATATCATGCAGTTTCAATCTGTCTTCTGTCGGAGCTAATCTGACACATTGTGTGGGGGGATGTTTGTTTTTTTTGCATTCTCAGTATTTTTGGCTGCCCTCCTATGTAAGAAAAAAATATTAATTCTTTTGTTCATTTTAAAATTAGATAAAACATAATGAATATAATGAAAACTTGATCATCTAATTGTGATCACTGTGTCACAAGTAGACACCATTGATGTGACTACTCCTTCATAAACATCCTCCATAATCTCCTGCATGACATTAGTATCTCAATGCTCTGGTTTTAAGCTATTCTTCCAGTTCCACCAATTTATGCCAATAGATTTCAAAAACCAATGACGCATATGGCCAGAAAATTCAAATTTAGCCTGCAAATAAAAGTGATATACTAGAAATAACATTTTGTGCACGCCCAAGTGATCTACTATTTGTCATTTATGAAATTAAAAATACATATCACATAGTTTTCATGAATCAGTAGGACATGAAAAAAAAATGCAATTTACATACATACCACCAAATTTCTATGTATTTACATCCATTTAGCATGAAGGCAAATTCTGAAAGTTCTATTGGCTTAGAAGTAAGGTTAAATCAGCTAATTTTCATAGGTGTTAGACTTGTACATATATAAGAATTTGGTGTTATGTATGTAGATGCTCCTTAAATAAATTATTGTCAAAGTCTTAGTAAAAGGTGACTAATAATGGTAATCTTCAATGGTAACAAATAGTCAGTTTTCAAGGTTTCAAATTGAAAGAAACGTCCTACAACTGGAAGTTATTCCAGTAAGCACGCCACACATTATATTGCCTAGAACTTAATCTAATTTCCTAAAAGCAGTAGCTTGGATGCTGAATTTATTGGCATGGCTGAATGGTTGCAAGATGCTGGTTTGCTTGTTTGAATGCTGCAACTGGCAGGAGCAGTTGGTGTCGCGAGTTGGCATTAGGTGCTGTCATAGTGGCTGCAGGAATAGAATTTTCTTACAACCTAGACTTGAGAATGAATTTTAAATGCTTTATAAATTATTTATATATTTTTTGGCATCGTTAATGTATGGAATTTGTGTGAATACTCTTAATGTATGGACTTTATTAGCCAAAGCACAAAAATGAGCATGAAACATGGCCTCACGATAGAGCAAGTTTTTAGAACAGAGATGACCCATTTGGGAATTGTTTATAATTTTGTACCTCAAAACATACATTCTAAAAAAATATTAGATTTTTAATTAGTTGCTTGTCACTAGTAGTCATGTTAGAGCATAACAAACAAGCCAAGAAAAGAACATTGAACTTTGCAAGTTAATTAATGTTTAAACCATGGTCTACCAAACTATTCACTTTAAAGTTTGACATTACCGTATCAGTTGTTATTCCTGGTCATTTCACTAGGCAAGGCTTGAAGAGAGCCGCCTTCTTACCTAGCCTGAACATAGATGAACTCGAGGCTTCATGTTATTGTCAGCTTGGCCTCAAATATATATTAAGAGGCTGAAGTCAATACTATGATCTGTGCCTTCTGTTCTAGCAACATTTACATACAACAAAAAACTTTGAATCTTATAAAGTAACTTGTTGAAAGATCTCGAAAATATTAATAAGTATATTCCATATTTGTTATAACTCTTTATTTAGAGAGTTATAAATTACATGAGAGATCTTGGGAATCTCTATTTATTTATCTCCTTAATTAGAGAGATTAGTTGCCTCTTATATTTTATTATTCACTTTCTATTGTATTTTGTGTTTATTTTTTTCCTTACCAGTAAAGTCCTGCAATGGGTATTTATACCTCTCTTTGCATCAATAAAATTATGTCCTCTTATATTTTTTCATAACTTAATTCCAAGAATATCAGGCTCACATACCTGTAGAAAATGTCCCAACTTCGAAGCGATGAGGCCGCGGTCTTGAACTGTGATAAGATGGTTCCAAAGTATCACTGCAATCTTCATCCATTGGATTAAGATTTGTTGGTGTAGACTGTGAAATAGCTAATCCATCATTTTCCCCCTGTTGGACACACCTCTAGATTTAACCTTTTGTAAACACCAAAGTGATCTATTACCGGTCATTTCTAAAATTAAAAATATATATCACATAATATTCATGAATCAATAGGAAAAAAATGCTCAAACTAAAAGTTTGATTTAGAAAAAAAAAATGCTTGAACTAAAATGAATACTTGAAGGATTCAGTACAGCATAATATGTCATTGCTGGAAAAAATATTAATGATGCTAAACTGAAGATCTCATTCAGCTTCTGAATCCTTATTATCTAACAATCATTTCAGAAGAACATTACAATTTTTTATATACAACTTTCTAATTTTCAGGTGAATATATCTCATGTAATAAAATGTTAATTTATACATGCAAAAAAGTATGTAATTTACCAAGTTAAAAGGTACTGACAAGGCAATGGTTGTTTCCACATGAAAAATGTTCAAATTCTGCTGCCTAAACAGCCATCATAGACATATATCTCAGAAACCAAAAACACAGAAACTAGCAGTCATCTGGAGAAATGCATTTCTTAATTTTTGTCAATGTCATTGTTTTCTAAGCCAAATATCATCAACATTTTACATGGAAGGCAAGTAAACTGATGTTTTTTTAGCATATTAAGGGCATCTTTAAGTATGAAATTGCGCTTCCACACAAGACACGTTAGTTGGAAATAGAGTGAAGAATCCCAAGGTCAAATTTGAGGCTCAGAAAAAACAGAGATCTTTACATGCATAACTCCCAATTCCTATTTATTTACATAACTAACACCTATACTTTACTTATTGCATTTATATCACCCAAATCATTCCTATCACATCAAAATAACACTATTTGAATTTTTAAAAAGTGAAATACACCTTTTCATGCAAAGATGAGGTGGCATAAATGTAAAAATTGAAGTTTAGGTGTTAGATATATAAATACATAAAAATTAACTGTTATATACGTTAATCCATAAAAAAAGTCAAGAAAAAAAATTTATTGATTAACATTTCCAACTATACAATATAAAAAGAACAACTCATTTGACAGAGCATCTGCTTGCTAAGTGCATTGCTGTATCAACCCAAGCAAAATGGCTACAAAAATAGATATACCACAACATATATTGCTCAAGAAAAGCTACAAGAACAAAAATGTATCTCATCCATCAGAACCTCAAACCAGCACAAAACAGATGAAATCAGAGGGAATTGGGGCAAACACTAGCCTCGATAGGGGGGCACAGAACCTAACCAAAATGTCAAGATGCAATCGAAGCAAATGTAACTGCAAAATGTTTGCATACTTTCAGCAGTCGTAGGAGAACTTTGCAAGTTAATTAATGTTTAAAATTGCTTCAAAAGAGGAACGTAGAAGGTAAATCCAAGTGAAACAGAGATCATGATGCAATTGAATGGGGTAGAATTAAATAACCAGAGGCAAGAGAACTATAAAGGACAAATAAATCATATAAGCATTCAAAAACTGATCAATATAAAAAATTAAATCATATGGTTGTTTCAATGATAACAGTGGCTATAATGTATCCAAATGTAGGGCTATGAACAATAGCTTTCAACTTTTCAGATTAACGTGAACGGTAAGACAACGGATAGTTCTCAAAGCAAGAAGGCTGTATTAAATTGTGAAGTGTCAGGAAGCAATCCTTGTAAAGCTTATACTATTAGCAGCGGCTGAAAAGATAAATCTGGACAAGAAGCAGCCACAAAAAGCAGCGGAATGCATTAACTAGTAGGTACACATGTACACGCATCGAAAAACCTAAAAAAGAACACATTGAGGCTTGTTTTTTGAGCCTTAGAGCAATAGCATTACAGAGGGCAGTGAATTCTTCTGAAGTGATCTAGAAATAATAATCAGCAGCTAAAATCGAGTAACAGTGAACATAAAGCAGGCAAAATCCTATTATCATTCAGAAGTACGCTCTGGATTTTACTGTGGCGTATAATTCAGATATATCACATATTGAAACCAGTCTTGTAACGTCAAATGACATTGGAAGGGAAAAACATAAACCTTATCTTGAAATCACCACTATGATCAAGTTCATCAAATATCAGCTCAAAATCGCCAAATAATAATTGGAGTCAAAAGGATTAAAAAAAAAGGTAATAAACAAAATATATTAGCCGTGCAGCTTAATTCCACTGAAGTTGAATATTCAGAGTGGTAGTTTAACAAACAGACGCATTATATATAGCTAATAACAAGAGTTAAGAAGAATAAACATGTTCTTTCTTAACGTTGGAAGACATGATGCATGCATACGATTTAACGTTTGATATGATATTTGGAGGACCACACAATGTCATAAAATTTGTCTCTGATCTCTACAGCACCGTCTTTGACATTGATGATGACCTTAAATGGATACGTGCCTTTACGATTGTTATCGCTATTCCAGACGTCTTCATTTTCTCGATTAAGAATGACTAGTGAGCCATGATATTCCAATCCGGCCCTGCAGCCTTTGCCGCCTTCGGTGTTATTTGATTGCCAGATCTGGTAGGAGTGAGGGGAAGTTAAGACGATGTTACAGTCCTCGTCGCGCATCGTAAGTGTAAAGCCGGAGCGACTAAAGAAGCCGCCCGGCCTCAAATAGTCCCCGCTTGGTAGATAACTGGGAGTGGCTATAGGAATGGAGACCACTGTAGCAATTAGTAGGCTCACCAAGGCTATTAAGGAAAGGATGCTGGCAATAGCCCTGCTTGAGGAAGCCATGACTTGCATGCAGCTGCTTCGTTGTGAATTTGCTTGCCTCCCATTATTATGTATTTATACTGCTTTTCACTCACTTGTTCTTACTTTATGTCTATATTATATGAGAAGATTGACATTTACATACAAACCATTTGATTTTTACGTATTTACATATCTAAAATTTGAACTTAAAACTTCATTTTGTGCATATATGTATGAGAAGGTGCATTTCAGTTTTTATAAGTTAAGAGAATGATATTTTCTTATGTGATATGAAATACTTAAATGGAATAAATGTATATATAAAAAAAAGATAAGGTTTTAGGAGCTAGAGGTGCCAATACATAAAAGAATTAGGAGGTATGTATGTAAATGCCAGTATTATATATGAATAGATGGTCCATTTGTCTGTAATTCAAAGGTATGTTGACTGAGAATAAGGCTAGATGCTAATTAAAAAGAGGCCGGGAATGGTACAAATATATAATGACAGAAATCAGACAAAGCTCTGTTGGCTGAGAATAAGGCATGCTGCTAATTAAAAAGAGGCCGGCAATGTTACATATATATAATGACAGAAATCAGACAATTTTAAACTTATATAAAAGATCTAGATTGAATTATCGGAAAACTGAATATTAATCTACTTTCGATCAAAATTAATTATTGATGCGTGCTAGAGAATTCGTTGCGGTAAAGTAATGACTTATTATCAGATGAGTGACGTTTAATGTGACCAAACCATTTAAGACGGCTCTCTCTAATTTTGCTTGTCACTGGAGCTACACCAACCCTATTGCGGGAATTCAACACACATTTAGTTTAAAAAAAAAAAAAAACTAATAATAACACCATAAGTTTTTACGTGAAAAATCTGTAAAAGGATAATAACCACGAAACGTGACCCATTTGTAAAAATTCACTATAAGTTGATGATTACATAAATTTCTTGTCCTATTGACGGAAAAGGGATACAAAGTCTTTCAAATTACAACATCAACGTGCGAATGAACTTGTTGTAAGAACGTGGGTGGAAGCCGATAATGATTGTTGGAGGCTAGCAAGTGGTGGTCCAAAGCAGTCGGCGGTGGTGAACAATGGTCGACAATGATCAATGACGGTCAACGAAGGTCAATGACGGTAAACGACGATTGACGGTGGCAAGAGTGTTGTTGGACTTCAGCTCCTTCTCAAACTTTCAAATTCTTTCTCAATTCTTAAACTCTCCGACCTTGTACCCCCCTTCCTCCCATCCCCCGTCCTCTCTCATGAGAAGGGTGGAGCTTTATTTATAGTGTTCTGGGTGCAATTAATGCAGAGATATGAACCACTTTAATCAAACAATCTGGAGAGCTTCCTTCGATCATACGGTATTTGATGGACATTTTAGTGCCTTAAAAATATTGGAATTGAGCAATCTTTGGCTCACTGGATTCGTTTTGTCGATGTGTTCTATTTGACTATAGGCCTATTAGATTCGACGTTAGTTTAACCTTCTAAATATGTCTAGAAAACTTTAAGAGTGATTTAATGACTTGATCTGAACTTGATTTGACATAGACTGGACTAATTTTGATATCGTTGGGTCTGTCTGATCGAGTCGGTTAGTTTGACTATAAGTTTGCTGAAATCGGAGCTTTGGATGAGTCTTAATTGCAGTTTTGAATGTTTCTTGATCAAAAGATTACCTCGAGATTTATGTCATGTCTCGAGATTCGTGTCGGATGATGAAAATTTATTGGTGGCATATCAGTTGTCTTCCTATTTTCGGGTGAGTACAATTTCTTCGTCGTATAAATTCGGTGGAGATGGGAGTTATATAAAAAAAGTATACGCATACATATGCGCTATAATATGTCACAGAACAAAAAAAAAAACTTTTTCCTTATGCATAAGATGATATAGAACATGTTCATAAGAATTATAACATGTGCGGCTTAGTGTCTCGGTGGATTTATTCATCGAGTTTGTGCGGCGTTCAAATTTCCTCACCAAAAGTTTTTCTTAAGGAAATTCGGAAGGCTAAAACGTGGGCATATGTAAAGATTTTTAGTTTTTATTTTAATTTGAAATGAGGAAATCGGAAGGTCATAAGACAGAAGTCGGAAGGACAAAATGAACTCAAATTTTAATTTTTTAAGGTAATTTGGAAGAATAAAAGATGGGAATATGAAAAGTTTTTTTTTTTTAATTTGAAATGAGAAAGTTGAAAGGTAATAAGGTGAAAACTAGAAGGCCATAAGCCTCAAATCGGAAAGAGAATGAATGCTGATTTTTATCTTTAATTTTTCTTTTAATAAATGTCTTTAATGCTAGGCCTTCTATTAAGCCTATAAATAGAGGTTATGGATGAGAGGAAGAGCCACAAGTGAGGAGGAGGAGAAAAAAGAGAAAGAGTGGAGAGTGAAGTCTTCTGCTAACGAGATTTTTTAAAAGAAAAAAAGTTGTCCCCGTTCTGCATAGCAGATGAGCAACGAGATCTTCTTTCACGTTCCAGCCAAGAGGAAAGTCGTCCATGTCTTACGCAGTAGGAGAGCAATGAGATCTAGTCTTGTGTTGCGTCCAAGAGGAAATTCGTTCACGTCCTGTGTAGCAGACGAGCAACGGAATCTTCTTTCGCGTTACGACGAGACTAAAGTCATCCATGCCCTGCATAGCATGCGATCAACGAGATCTTTTTTTTGTATTACAATGAAAGGAATTTTTGTCCTTGTTCTGCGTAACATGCAAGCAACATGATCTTTTTTCACGTTGCGGCAAAGAGGAAAACTGTCTACGTCCTGCGTAGCAGATCTGCAACATGATCTTCTTTCTCGTTGCAGCGAAAATGAAAGTCGTCCTCATCCTATGTAGCAGGCAATCAACAGGATCTTCTTTCACGTTGCAGCGAAGAAGAAAATCATCCTCGTTCTGCGTAGTCAACAAATAACATGATTCTTTTTTGTATTACAACATAAAAGAAAGTCGTCCCCGTCCTATGTAGTAGGTGATCAACGAGATCCTTGTTCATGTTGCAGCGCAGAAAAAAGTTATCTCGTCTTGTGTAACAGGTGACCAACAGGATCTTCTTTTACGTCAGTGAGATGAAGAAAATTATCTTTATCTCTATCTAGCAGGTGACTCATGATCTTCTTACTTGTTGCTACTACGTATTTTGATGGAGATCAAAAAATGCTAAAATTATTCATCTGATGAAAAAATGCTCTTTGAGGGGGGAGAATTTCATGCTTCTATTGTGGCGATATCTTTTGTAGCCTTTGTATTAGTTCTTGTTGTTCTTTATAGCCTTTTTAATCATCTGATGTGACATTTGTAGATGACGATAATATATTTCTTTGTACGTCTTTAACATTGCTTATGAGGTTGTTGTGGATTCTCAATCATATGAAATTCTATAATGGCAGTTAACACACACACATTATAAAATGGAGAATTGAGAACCTTTTAAGGCTTGCGCCTTATGAGGTTGTGACCTCTCAAGGGCTTATGCCATATATGAGCTTGAAATGAACTAAAACTTTCTGCTGCTTGAACCTTCTGAGGTCTTTTATGTAAATGTGTTTTATGAGGCTTATAGCCTTCTAAGATTTTTATGTACCCATGTCTTCAAAGACTTATAACATTCTAAGATCTTTGATGTACATGTGCCTTCTAAGGCTTGTAGTTTTCTGAGTTCTTTGAGTGGAGACCCTATCAACCACTTAGTCTCATAGTGTATTTCTAGTGAGGACTCTGTCAACTACTAGCTTCCCATCGAGACTTACCTCTTAAGCTTGTCTTCCAGTGACATGGTGGCTTCTCATCGAGTCTTGCCTCTTAGACTCGACTTCCAGAGGTTCTTATCAAATCTTACCTCCTGGGCTCAACTTCTAAGAGTAACGTATCCTGCTATCAAGTCTTGCCTCTTGGGCTTGGCTTCCAGAGGCATGGTAGTTCCCTATTGAGTCTTGCCTCCTGGGATGGACTTTCAGGAGTACTGTATCTTTCCATCGAGTCTTGCCTCTTGAGCTCAACTTCCAGAGATATGGTAGCTTCCCACGAGTCTTGCCTCTTGGGCTTAACTTCCACGGGCATGAATGAGGACATTCTCTACCGCTTTCCCCAAGGAAACTTTCTAAAAAAAAATTTTCACTGAAATGACAGTTTAAAGCAACACCAAAATTATACTAAAATAAAATTAGTATTTTATAAGTTAGTCTTTTACTCAAATAAGATTATATAGAATTACACTTCTTATTCGATAACTCCAATGATTCTCTTCTGGTTCCCCTCAGCTTGTTCTTATAAGTAATGACTCAGGCGACCGTGGCATATCAGAAGTTCAATGTTTTTCTTTATTTGCAAAACAACTTTTTGTTGAATATCCTTTTGCACAGTGGAAATAATAATATTGAGACTGGTCTCCACCATTTAGATTTCTTAACGGCCTTGGCCACTTGACGGTCTCTTCATCCTTTATGGCCATTAGGATGTTGACATGTGACGTGATGAGTGACGTGTATTCTTTTTCTGATCGTCGATCACAAATCCCCTGTGGTCTAAGATTTTTTTGTTGTGAGATTTTTTAAGTATCCTCAGAGTTATTCTTGTGCTTGTCATCCAATTGCTCAGATTGTTCCTTGTGTGCGATGATGGTCTCATCTGCAGAGATTTGAGCTTCAACGTGATGGATGATATCAGCGTAAGAGCCTTTTCCCGTCTCAGTGATGAATAGAAAAGTCCTAAGTGGAGCCCTTTAAAAAAGACTCCTCTCAGTAACTCTGGATTCATTTCAAGAATCTAACGTGCTTCAGTGGAGAATTTGCAAAAGTATTCTATTCTTTGAGGGATTCCACCTTAGTATGACAAACTACCGATAAGTGAGATGAATCTTTGATGATTCTTCTATTTGCTATGAATTGCTATACAAATAATTTGACAAGCATGTTGAAGGTGTTGATGCTGCCCCCCAGGAGAGAGTAGAATCATGTGCAAGGTTGATAGTTCTCTATGAACTGCTATACAAATAATCTGACAAGCAT